AATAAAACATAAAGATTCAATCTCTTATTTCTTATTTCAACCCAACTTTTTACGTCCAGCCAGCCCATGATTTATCAGATCCAAATTCCTACACGATGGGCCGAGTAAGTGGGCTTGATAGGTTTAAAAAGAAAACTTAAAATTTTAAGAGGAAATTGTTGACACCCGAGTTCGAGAGCCGATCCGGAGACCCGGTCCACTCAGAAAGTGCCGAGCTGGACCGGAAAACTTTTTCACCTATACATTCCCGTGAGTCCGTCCGCCAGTCCGGCGTTTGCGACTATGAAGCCCCGGAGCCGATCTGAAGAGCGACGGGCTGGAAGAAAGGTTCCCCGGGACCGGAGGAACAAGCAAAGATAAGGTGCCGACTTGGAGTCTCAGGACGGGTCCCTGCGATGAAGGTGCCGATCTCGATAGTAGTATAATAATGCCACTTGGAGGGTAATCATTGGTTAATGGATGGGACGTCCTAGCCTGTTGACCTACTTCCCCTAGCCAAGACATAAAGCCTGTCAGCATTAAATGTCTGTCAGACAATGATGAGGAAAACCTCAAATCGCATTAAATTCTGTCAGGGAGGCGCCGAACTACTCTGCAAAGAACACTGTACGACAAGACTGATGAACAGTGCCTGAACAGTGTCACATTTAAGGCCACTATAAATAGCAGCCCATTTCATTTATTTGGGTTGTTGAATCCCAACTACTTGTACTCATATTTTCTCTCTCTAAAGACCTGTAAGAAACTCCTGTAAGTATTATAAGTATATCGCAAGTGCCGATCTCGTACGAGAGGCCGACCTCGTGATCCGTTAATAAAATCGTAATTAAACCGTATTTCCTTGTCTCTATCTTGTTTTCTTTTCATTGCTTGACTTTTTAACCGTTGACCGGAAACGTCCATCAACAGAAATTACACCCCATACTAACACATTTAAATTATATTACACTTTTATACTCCTTATATACTTATTTTTAAAATTACCTAAAGAAGCTACAAATATTATCAATTATAGCTTGAATTCAAATTTTAGTAACTTATCCCTTAATTAAGGAAGAACGATCACACGAGATTTTATTCTGCTCTAACCTATTTTCACTCATCCTCTCCAACAAACAACAACATCATTCCAATCTACTATGGTAGGTTCGAGGGAGCCCGCCGGAATCTGGCTCCGCCGCGCTATCTTTTCCCAACCACCCCTCCAACATCCCCTTCGCCCCCTTCTCCCACTCTGAGAAGCTAGGTCGGATTTGCCGACTGGACCTGGAACATCAACAACCAGGCCCGATCCGGATCCAAGCAGGGCAGAGGCTACCACCCGTTTGACTCCGCCTTCAATTTCCCCGGCGACAACTCGTTCGCCACCCTCGCTGCCGACTAGGACGCCTCCTTCCGCCTCGTCGTTACCTAGTCCAAATCGCACCACTACAACCCCAACCGCCCCAAGTTCAACCCGATCTGAATTTACGAAGGATTATAATTGCTCCAAAAAAATCAATGAGATTCTGCAAATAACTTCTTCGAAAGTTGATCCGAATCAAGCTGCACACTTTTCTGCAATACAACTTGTAAAATGCCAAATTCTATTAGAAGAAAAAAAAATTGAAATACAGTGTGAATGTTTATCTCCTTCAATTTTGAAGAAAGTCGATCTCCTTCTGTACAGTATATGTTTATCTCCTTCAATTTTAGTTATGTTGATCTCCTTAAATTTTAGTTGATCCGAATATACTGTACAGAAGGAGATCAACTTCTTTCAATTTTCTTCAAGTTTATCTCCTTAAATATGTACAGTATATCTTACTTCAATTAGAAGAAAGTTTATATCCTTCAAAATACAGAAGGAGATCCGAATGAAATTGAAGTATATGTTTATTCAATTATAGTTATGTTGAGTATATACCTAATTACTTCAATCTTTCTCTTATCTACGTGACAACACATATATGTTGAGTATATGTACAATATATTTACAGTATATGTAAATCAAATCTTAGTTATGTACTGTTATTTCTTAGTTATGTACAATTACTTTGTGAATGGATATTTGTTTTTTCTGTTTTCAATGTTTTATTCATAGTTTATGTTAGGTATATTAGAAGATCTTTTTGGAATGTCCGAACCTATTTTTTAGTGAGATTGATACGATTAGGGCTTAAAAAAAGTTAAATGAATTGAGTTGTCACAGGCATTTTTACAAGTTCTCATTTCCTGCAAAAATGAATTTTAATAAAGATTTTCATTTTGTATGCCTCCGTAGCATAGTGGTAGTGCGTTCGCTTCGTAAGCGAAAGGTCGCAAGTTTGATCCTCGCCCGGGGCTGAAAATCCCTATTCAAATGACTCAATTTTTTTACTTTTTTTTGTCCATAATTTATAGTGAATATTTAATCCCCTAATGACAAAACGAATTACGCTATATTAATTTAAAGTAAATTATAAGATAACTGATCTTGACGATCAAAACTGTTTTTTCACAACATTTCTAAAATATATATGAAAGAGAGAAAAAAGAACCATATAATCGAAAAAGGAAATTGGACAGGAAATTAACAAAAAAAGGGAGGTATCCAAAACCAATTAAACAGACAGCAAAAAAGCCGGAGAACTAATTAATCAATCAATATATAATTATAAAAAATGGAAATGAACAGACAACAAAATGCAGGAAGAATTATGGAAAATGGAAATTAAACAGGCAACAAACAAGAAGGAAAGTCTCGAAAAAAAATTAGTAAATAAAAGTAGGAAGTGTCGAAAAAAAAAAAAACACTAATAATATGACAGTAGGGCCCTACCGGGTTCGAACCGGTGACCTCTTGATCTGCAGTCAAATGCTCTACCACTGAGCTAAGGACCCATTTGTTTTGAAAATTAAGTCATAAAATATTGATAGCTAAAAGAATCGTTACTTATTCAGTCAAGGCAAACAAATAAATCAACGCAAGTTTACCCTCCGTATTTTTTAAATTGTGCATGGGATAAAACCATATTAATTGAAATAATATTGATACATATACAATATATTTGAAATTTTTCTTTTTTCTCATACAATATGTTTTTATCAAACACCTACCGGCTACAGTGCGGGGCTGTACTAGTTTTGATTAGAAATAAAGAGTAATATTTGTAAATGTAACTTATTCAGCTATGAATAATGATTATGAGAAAATTGAAGGACCAAATTTAAAATAATGACTAAAATTTGTACATAGTAATTTAGCTTTGAAATAATGATTATGAGAAATTTGAAGGGACAAAAAATGAAAAAACATGGGGCATTCCGAGAATTGAACTCGGGACCTCTCGCACCCTAAGCGAGAATCATACCACTAGACCAAATGCCCTTCTTATTTGATCATTTTCAATTAATTTTACTAATTCGTTGCAACTCTGTTCTGCTACTTTCGTAACATGTATCTCTGTGTCTCATTTTAACATGCATCTCATTTAGCTCTGTATATCTAATAATTTGTGTTGTAATTTGAGTAAAGTTAGTGTTCGTATATATATATATATATATATATATATACTTGGGTCTTTACTTACTTACACTTTTACAGTTCCTTAAAAGAGTTAAAAGTGTCCTACCTGTGGGGATTTTATCCAAATTGTCAAGGCCTTTCCAATTTATATGAGGAAGTTTGTATCTTGATGCATTTTTAATTGGGATATTTCTAAATTTCATATTTTAATCAAANTTACCCTTTTTCTGCAGCTAAGTTTATCCAAGACTTGCATCATGAGTAGCTGTTTGAAGCCGAAAAGTCGAAAACACAACTCGATACGAATCCACTCGATACAAAAAGACAATGATTTTAATCAAACAATAAAATAAATAAGTTTCCTAGACTAAAATACCACTAATAATCATATAATCAAGAAAAAAACACATAATTAAATTAAAAATTCTAAAAATCCTTACCTCCATCATTATTCCTTCTGCTCGTGTTTAAAGTGGAGATAAAATACACTAGCTTTCATTCATTTTTTTTCTTTTTAAATTAGAGCATAAATGACTTGATTTGGATCTTTAGTACACAATTTCATAAAATAAACAACGTTGCGTAGTAAATTCATGGGCACATTACCAACAAAAGTTTCTTTCTTTAATCACATTTCATTAGTTTCATTTGTCAAAAGCACTCAAAAGATCTATTTTATTCATTACATCAAGTTCAAAAAAGGGCACTCACAACAAATTTGAGTTAGAAAAAACGTGCGCATTCGTACGGTAAGTTCTAAACGCACTTAAGACTTAAGTTGGCTTACCTTAAGTCTCATCCATAAAGTAAATAAAAATCGTGTTATACGCTGAAATAAACTTTAATACAATAACACATGTTACAATCTTCTATTACTTTATACACATTGAATTACTTTGAAAATAAATAATATATCATTTTGTCATTTATTTGGTTATTTCATAATGTTAAAGTAACTTTACTTAATAAATAATTTACTAAGTGCACCCAGCTGCTTCCTTGCAATTTCCTATTGACAATCTATCTATCCAAAAAAAAATAATAAAGAAATAAAAGAAAAAACATATACATCCATGGTTTTTGCATGATTTCAAGACTTCTTTAAAAAAATAACAATAAATCAATATGCAAATCCTACCACAAAACTTCGTTAATAGAAATAACAGCATACTAGAAACAGATTTAACAATAATGAAAAGAGTTGCATGATTATCTTACAATTTCCAGAAAATAGAAGAAAAACTAATAAATATAAATAATAATAATAATAATAAACATTTTGCTGCCTCCCTATCTAGATTTACATGGGAAAAATTCTAAACAGAAGAGAACATTGTTCAACAAGACTCTGACAAAACCCCCCCAAAAGGTTTTTTTAAAGATGAAACTACCTCTTGTTCTTGAATCACATCTCCAGACCAAGTTAATTAATTAAACCCCTTGAAACTTTTTTTTTCCTTACAAATTCGGGCAATATCGATTGCAATCAACTAGACGAGACACAAAAACCACAATACCAGCATCATAAAGATGCTGTTTTGAGAAGATAGATTAACACCAAAATTATTGTCATATCCACTTCCTGTGGGCCCCAGGCTGCCTGAAAGAGTTCCACCGGAAGTTGTGCCGCCGCCGGTGGTGGTGCCGCCAGTCGAGGTCCCACCTGTGCTGGTGCTGGAGCTACACAAATTTTCTTCGGCATTAATTAATAATGAAACACCAAAAAAAAAAAAAATTCTGTATATGCTTAAAAATATTAGTTAACTCTATGCAATAGCACACATTTCATTTCATCTTAACCAACATATTATCCTTAACTTTATCTTACCACTAGAATTAAATTCTTAAAAATATTTGAGGAATTGATTGAAGAAAAGAAAATGATGAAATGGTTTTAGAGAAAGGTTCCATATCACAAGACAACATAACAAAATCAACATTCACACATCAACATCTTGACAGCTCATACATATTTATCATATATTGATGCTTTAAATTAACTTGACTATGACCAAATATTATTTTATTGTGACCATTAAAATGGGCAAAAATAGATCTACCATCCTCCTCTTTTTTGTTGCAAGGCGCAAAAAAACTTTCAACTTAGGTTAAAATATTTAGTTGATTTCATTCATTACTCACATGGACCAATTGGAAATATAGAATTTTCGATTAATATAAAAATTATACCAATAAACACCTTAAAAGTAAAGTCTCAGAAGTGTAAAGAAATAAGCACCAAAATCAGGCAACTGGATTCAAAAGCCTCAAACAATGACATATTTCCTTTCACAATCAGAAATCAAATATGCTATTGCAAGCTATAAAACAACCACCAGATATATACACCAAAGAAATCAAATCAACCATGATTTTATAAAACAAGAGAATGTATCTGCAAACTCTTATGTTCTTTACTCATTAGGGTAACTGATTTATAGCTGTGCAAGCAACTCGATATACGAGATTCGGCGGTTGCTATATACTATATATAATCAAGTTATGTAAATGTTATGTGAATAATTCATATTGATGCTCCATTTTGTGAAGGAGTTAAAAATTGTTATGGAAATTGTCTTTTACTAACACCTAACTCAAACAATTTCCACTAATTATACCAAACATTTGTTCCCTTCAATCCACATTACCATTCATGAAAAGTAAACTAAACAACTAAACATATAAACAAGTCCTCAAGGTTCAGAGAGAGACAAAATTTCAGAGATCTGAGAATGCGATCAAACTCATAATTGCCCTTTGAAAGGAAAATAAAATAAAAATTAAGGGCATCAACAAACCTTGGACTAGCTTGGTACACACAGTCAGAACTTGTAGCTGTACAACATAAAGAAAAAAAAAATCAAAAAATGGAAACTAGGCATTAGGACCCATAGAATTTGATTAAAGTGAGAAAAAGAAAAAAAAAAANG